TCAAAAGGAGAACTCAAGTTCTAGAATGCTCTCATCGTAATCTAGAAGATGTTTACTTCTTTAGGACTTCAAAGAAAAAAACCAAACTCTTGCTATATTTAGCTCTAAGGTAATCTAAAGGAGTATTTTAATATATTCCACTGGGCCGAAGTATTTTCTATGTGTCTCTTGTGACGGATGAAAACTAAGTGAAGGGAACAGGTTACAGACTGACCTCAGACGCACGGCGACATCAGGAGGGCAGGTCTCTGAAGAGCAGCCCACCCCGCGGCCCCAGCTCCCCACCTTCTGTCACTTACATGCGAGGAGTCACTGATGCTCAAAGCTTTTCTTCGCATTGTATTGTGCGTGGACTTTCAGGGTGTGGATGATTTCCACAGGAAATACTCATGTCTGTGTGGCCACTTCCAAGCAGAGTGTTAAGCTGGACTTGGTTCGAGTGCAGTTCTCTACCGTGTACACCACACCACACGGCAGCCCCTCCTGGGACAGTGGTCATCTTACCTCGGCTACCTTTTCATTCGCCATTTCCAGCTGAGAGAGCAGCTCTTGGGTATGAAGTTTCTGTCGACTCAGCTCACTCCTATTAGCCGAGCAAGGGAGGGAGGGAGGGTTTGTTTTAAAAAAATGAACAAAATGGAATCTTTATTAGTGAGATACATATTCATGCTTTGAGCAAGAATACTATATTTGTGCAAAATAAAGCTTCTTGTTAATAATACACCACATCTAAAGGACTCATTCATTTCTTACACATGTATTCCGGAGACTGGTTGTACAGCAATGTGAATACACACCACCATTGAACTGTACACTTAAAAATGGGTAAGCTGATACGTTTAATATTATGCATATCCTATCACAATTTAAAAATGGTCAAAACAGTACATTTTACGTTATGTTTCTGCCACAGGAACTCCTGTGGCAAAAAATTTAAAGTGCCAAAGTGTCTTCAATATTATCATCTCGAGTATTCCCTGGCATTAAAATGAAAGCATACTGTTAGTAAAACAGATATGGTGATTGTTAGTATAAAACCCCATCGGCCACTGTGCCTCTCAGCTGCAGTGTGACAAGCCAGAGTCCCACACGGAGCTTCTGGGAGGGGCCCGACGCTGGGCACAGCGAGGCAAGGTTCATCGGTCCGTCATTGCCAAGTGCAGGAGAGTCAGGCCTGCTGTTTGCTTTGGTTGCATATGTGCAGTATTTTATACATTAATACCCTTTGAGCTTTATTAGCTGGAATTTTCTTATGCATAGAACTTTTTTTTCCTATTCAATATATATGGATTATATTGTTTCTGGACAAAGATAATTTGAAGAGTCCCAGGTTAGAAGTAGATACGATGTCGTCTTAAAAATAACTTAAAAAAAGAGCGACACAATTTCTGAGTATTAAAATAGTAATTCAGAATTGATTTTGTCCTTTGACCTTCTGCTTCTTAAAAGAAATCAACAGATTAACACTGTCAAAATAACTGCAGCTTTGATTCCCCCCTCCCCCTACAAAGGAACTACGCAAACAGCTGAAAACTTGGTCTCTCAAGTGTCTTGTATTACAGTGAATAGTAGTTGTTAAAATCTGGAAGCAATCTGCTATAAACACATAGGTGAGAACAAATAATAATGTCCACAAATCAATTCCTCAAATATTTACTGAACCGTCTCTGGGCCAAGTGCAAGGTCTATGGTGGTGAGCACAGGGTCGTTGCTGTAACAGAACTGAGAGACTGAGAGGGACTCGCTCGTTCTGACTGAGTTCGTCAACACAGGCAGCCGCTTTGAAGGGCTTTAGGATTTGTCACTGGTTCTGTGACTGACAAACCTTAGCTTTGTTTCAGTGGTCGTAATAAAGCTGAATACATTGTTTTGTGTATTTTTAAGTCTGTCATGTAGTTTAGAATTCCCACCACAACAAAACAAATATAACAAAAAAGCAAAATGACCGCAGTGGCAAGTCTTCTAGGTCAAATGGAATTAAAGGTGAAAGTCATGTGCGTCGATGCTGATGAGAAGTAACCTTTGACCCCACTGAGGTGAAACCACGCTCAGGTTTATGAAGTCGGACAGTGTTCAGGTTACAGAAAGCCCTTCCAGACACCACCTGCTGCGTGCTTTGACGTCTAAACTACTCACCCATATACCTGTGACAATTCACCTGAATGACAGTAGTGCTGTCTAATACTACCACATAATAATAATTTTCCACAAAATTAAAAAACACAAAGATACAAGTTATTAATTCTGAGTTACTTTTTAATCTTTGTCCATATTGAGTCTGCTGTGGACAGAGCCCTGTCACCCACCCTGGGTGGTGAGCGGTCTCCCCTTACAATCCGGTGTTCAGCAGGCTTGGCAAACAGTACTGAAGAAGATGATGATGATGGTGATACTGACAGTGAACCCTTTCACAGCACTTCCTGGGGGCCAGACACTGTTCTAGGTGCTTTATATAAATGCATTTGGTTTTCATGCTAACTCTGCGAGAGCCCTGTCTCTGCACAACAGAACGTCAAGACACAGACATAGAAAGATGAAGTCACGTGGCTTGTCCAGAGCCCCGTAGCTGGTCAGTTGTGGGGTTGGGGTGGAAACCGGGCCCCTTGCTCCCCAAGCGCACACTCTGCACTGCTCTCCTGGACCTCAGGGGACACTGAACGAGTCAGGGACAGTGTGAACCAAAGGGTTCAGTCCTCCATCAAACCGGACGCCAGACACCAAACGTGCTTGTCCCTGCCGCGCAGACCCACCTGGCTGACATCTCGGCCGTGGGGCTTGGCCGCAACACTGTGGACTCCACGCCTCACTTCCTCTCCTCGCGGCAGCCAGTCTGTCCCTAAACAGACCACTCCTTTGTCACATCTCTGTCACCGGCCCTTCCAGCTCAGTCTCCGCTCTAGCACCAATTATAGAATCGTAACTTATAATTCTATACATTATAGAATTTATCTATAATTATTTCCACTTTTGGCTTCATTAATGTGGTACCAGAATTTAAAGGCACTTGACGAGCAATCTGAGTACAAAAGTCTTCCAGACTTTTTACAGCACCCCCTCTATTCTTGTGGAGTGGCCCGTCCAAACCTAATTCAACAGCAAATCCCCCAAAGTATACAACGACCCCTTAAGAGAAACTTAGTTCTGTACTCATATACCATTGTTCTATTTTTCTCTTTTTGTGCTCTGTATCACTGGTTTATTTTTCTCTTTTGTACTCAGAAGTCACTGGTTGATTTAATTAAGTTGCATATTTCCAAAACAAGAATGACCGGCACAGCCTGGTGTGGGAACAAACACACTGACTCTTGGGGAGCAAGTGGGAAGCTCCTGAGGCGGGGGCGGGGCGTGGAGAACGCCTGGGCCGTGGGTCAGTGCCGCGCCCGGCGCAGGTGCGTGGTTCACTGGTTCAGGTCGTTAGGTAATGAGGTGGACATCAGCTCGGAGGGCCTTCTGCTATACCTTAACTCTCCCGCTGTTCCTTACTGTTACTTCAAGATTGCAAAGTGGCTGTTATTCTCATTGCATAAGTAAAGGAGTTAAGACTCAGTGTACTTATTTAATGTTCCTAATGTCATAAACAAATTGAATCAAAAAATGGAGCTCATACCAGTATTTTAATCAAAATGATCTCTCAGCTAGATCATATTGCCTCCTGTTTTGAGACCAGTCATTACAAGAGAGTTTCGCAAAGCGTGTTATCTGTGGCATCGTACAACATGAAGATCTAAAAGGCAAAAAGATTATCTGGAAAACACTGGATCCTAACTTTGTGGCAAAATGGTCAGTAATTGCAAACACTGTGATTTCAACTTTTGGTATGGCTTCAAAAGACTTGACTACTGAAAAAAGGAAATTCATCCTCAGGTTTCAAATCTCACTCGGTTAACGGAAGACACCGCAGGCCAGCTGCAGGCAGGCCAGCTGCAGGCATGCGTTAGAGCACATCCGCTCCTGGTCCCAGGACCCCCCCTTCCCATGCACACACTCCCCTGAGTGAGCCCGTCTAGTCCGTGGCTCACAGGCCCCCGAGGAGAGCCTCAGTGCACCCTGTCCAAAGTGGAGACCGCTGACCTCTTCCTTCCCAGGAAAGCCACGGCGCCCACCGCGTGCTCCGCCCGAAGTTTAGGCATCAGCCTGGATCTCTCCCTTTTCCTCATCCCCGGTATTTGATTTAACAGTAGCTCAGTCCTACCTCCCTCAACATAACGCGTGACTGCTCACTTCTTTCCACCTCCACCGACAACATGCTGTTCTAAGCCACGAGCATCTAGTGTCTGAAAACCGTAATGATCGAACATCTGGTCTCCCGACTCCCCTTCTGCCAGCTCTTGAGTCTCTTTTCCACACAATGTGGAAAACTGGTCTAAAGTGGTCTCTTGAAGACCTAAGGATGTCTAAAATCCCCCAATGATTTCCCATTGCTGCATTTTGGACTTTAACTTAAAATAGTATGTCATTTAGAGTAAAAATACCTTACTTAAAACAGTGCACGAGATTCTCAGGATAGGAGGACCCCTGACTCCCTCCGCAGCCCGGGGGCCTCTCTCCTCGCTCACTGGACTGTGATGACGTGGGTCCTGTTCAAACTCTGGGCCCCATCGTCCCTCCCTTTCCCTCTGCTTGCAACACTTTCCTGGCTTCTTTGTGTGGTTGATTTCTGCTATCCTTCAGGACTCGGTTCAAAGGTCAACTTCCTGACGACTTAAACAGGCATCTCACTCAGCTCCCGCCCTGCACCTGTAAACTCGGATACTGTTTCCTCCTCGCTGTGCGTGGGCTCTTCCTGCCGCTGCAGACGCTCACCTTGTCTGCGTGGGCGGTTTCCCTTCCTATTTGTCACTCCCCACTCGAGTCAAAGCTCCACAAGGAAGCTGCATTCATAGCGCTTAGCACAGCGCCTGGCACGCGTAGGCTGGTCACTAGACTCCTCGTGACCAGTCACCTCGTCCATTTAGTAGTAACGTCTCAAATGTCCTGTAACTTGTTTTCCCGACCCTTTCACTGCCCACCTGCTCCCGTATCAGAACGAACTAGATAGTTCAGTGACTACATTTCCCCCGTGGCCATCAGGTGGTATAATGAATTTGAGAGACCGCTCCCAGAAAAACCAACATGATTTAGACTTTTATTTGTGAATATCATTCACGGGAGGCTTATTTCAAGAACGTGAAGAATGAACTCGAAATTACAAACTGCGTGGATTTCCTCACACCTCGTTTTAGGTGCTGCTCTTGGATGAGATTGGGGAGACTGTCAAGTCCATTTAATCCAATAAATACTGAAATGAGTGCCCGTCATGTTCCACTTACGATGCTGGCACTAGTGGGATGGGCCAGGGGAGACCCAGTCACCGCCCTGGTGGCAGTAAGGAACGCCAGCCGTGCTGTGAAGCTCCCAGGTTTATGACGCGGCAGTCACTGCTATAAAGTCCACAGTGCTATGGGAACACACGCTGAAGGCGCAGGGGTGAGAGCTCTCTCTGGAGGAGGCAGCCTTTTAGGCTCATGTGTGAAAGATACACAGCAGTTAGACGAACAAAAGCAGGGGAGAAAAGGGAGTGTCGCCATCAGAGTCACGTGTGGAGGTCAGGAAAAAAGGAAGGGCAATCAATCCAGAAAGCCGAATGCAGCGCAGTATGAATGAGACAGACAGAGTGGCTGGAAGGTGGGCGTCAGGGTAGGGGGAGCAGAAGCAGCTGAAAACACAAGGAAACAGACTGCAAAGGACCGTCTATGTCTTGATAGGAAATGGAGACTTTATCATCGATGCTATGGGGAGGTGCTGAAGTATTTTAAGAAGAGAGGTGACATGATTAAGTTTGAGGGTCCAAAGATTTTGCTGATTGCAGCAGGAAAACCAGTAGGGGTCTGTGACTGTGGTAAACTGGGGGGGTGAGAGCAGCAGTGCAGGTGGGCAATGTTGATGGCCTGATTATTAGAGGAGAAGGGACAGAGTCAGGAGAGATGTTTTTCAGGGTGGGGAGAGGTCAGAATTAGTAGTGCTTGGTTTAGGGGAGTGAGGAGGAAGGCGTTCAGGATGACTTCCGGGAAAGTGTCACCGCTCACGGGACGGACAATGAGGAACGAAGGATGAATGTGGGCGGGCGTGGCGTAACGCGCTGGGCTTTGAATCCACTGAGTTCGAGGAACCTGGGAAAATGTGCGGTAGAGAGTTGGAAATACAGATTAGTTCCAAAAGGCCAGCACCAGGTGCTGTTTTGTAAATGCCAGTTAGTCATTTTCTGCTCGTCTGTCACAGAAATGGGTATCCTAACCCATGCTGAGAGAGTTTCACACTAAAGCACTTCAATTCTCAGTACTTCTGGCATATATAATAGCTGAAAAGGTGTAGTTACAAGGTTGAAAGCAAAGCTGTCCCTACAATGCATTCATCGCTTTGCAAATACCACAAATACTTTTTGTAAAAGAAGCTATGGTTCCTTAAGGCACGGAATCAGTTTGAAATCTGGGCCAACATCTTAGGCTTTATAAGTAATTACTATGATTGCTCAGCTCGTTCCATGACTGAGGCATAATTTAAGGTAAGAATGAGCTGTACGTATTTTGGTTGATGCGGTGCACGGGGAAGTGTCCTCAGTGCGTGAAATCCCTGAGTGGTGTCTGAAGAGTGCGTCGCACAAGGTCCATTTCGCATCCAAGGGGCCTGCAGACAAAAGGCGCGCTGCTCGTGCGGGGAGACGGCGGGTCCGCCAGCTGCGGCGAGCGTGTTCCGAGACTCTCTCTCATGACAAATTAACATAGCGTGTGCCAGATGGTTTTTTTTTTTGTTGAATTATACTATAATATGCTTCAGTTACTTTAAGTAATTACACATTTTGTAATCTGCCAGTACCTGCAGCTGCCTCTCATCCTGTTAATTTAAAAGGAAAAAAAAAAAACCCTTAAAAAAAGCAGTATGGCAGCCAAACATTACAGATATATAGCCAAGAATGATGTTTGAGAGATTAAAGAGAATTCCTTGGGCTCAGATGCTGTGTAACTGCATCTATATATATATAGTTTTGGACAAGAAAAGAAAATATTACATATTGTATATCTGCTCATTCACTGATTCAACACAGTTTTATTAAACACCTACAGGCCCAGCAAGATGGTTGCTCACGGTCTTGGAGAAGGGATGGACATAAACGGTAGTCACACTACAAGTCAGTAAGTGCCACAAAGAGGGACAAAAAGGAGAGAATCTGTCAAGGGAAGTGAGACTGCCTTACAGAGAACAGAGAAGTCGTTTGAGATGGGTCTGGAAGGAAGAAAGGGTTTTCAGGTTGGAAGTTGGGAAAAGATACCCCTAGGAAGAAGCAGCATGTCCGAAGTACCCCTAGAGTCACCCTAATTCCTCTTTGCCTTCGTTCTCCACATCAGATCCATCAACACTTTCAATTACCTCTAAAATAAAAGTCCCCCAACTATCCACATTTTCCTTTCTTCTTAGTCTAAGCCACCACCACCCCTTAACAAGACTCTCACAATAGCCTGAGCCCTTTCCCAGCTTGTTAACTTCTATTTTCCCTCCAGTAGCCAGGGTGAGATGACTTCTCTCAAAACTGCCCGCTGTCCTTCACTCACACTTAACTCTTTAACCTGGCTAATCCCATCCTGAAGGTCAGGTCCTGGTCTGCAGCCAAGGCCGTGCTCCCCAGACAGCCCACGCGCTCCATGTGCATTTCCGAGACTCCTGTGAGGTCAGACTAATTTGGCCAATGACAGTGAAAGGAAGTGAATCGTGTCACTTCGGAGGCGACGTAGTTAACAGTCAGCATTGCTCTTCCTTCCCCTCCAACCCCCCTTCCCTGGTCCAGTGATCTCAGAACACCAGGCCTCCAAGGTCACCACCTGGGAGGAACCTCTGCAGCACAGCCTTCTTGCCAAACTGCCATAGACATGCAACATCAGCAAGAAATAGCCTTTTTCCTGGTGTGTGCTCAGCCCCTGGGATTTCAGAGTCTGTTTGCTGTGGTGGCTGTCGCTACCTAACAGGACGCCTTGCCCAAATCTGCCACGCCTGCGTTCACTCCGCAGGTGCTTTCTGTGACTTCAAACCTACCCACGGTCCTTCTCATTAGCTGTCCTACCGGAAATGCTCTTTTTCCTGAGGTGTACACGGCAGGAGCTGTTGTCATTGGCTCTCATATTAAGATTAATTTCCTCACAAGGTCTTACTTGTCTACCTGTCTCAGGTGTCTGCCCACCCATTCATTATCACGTTGCCTTATTTTAATTTTTGCATATACTTATCATCTGACTTAAGTATGTTTGCTAGTTTTCACTTCCCCATCACTAATCCGTTATCTTCAAAGACAGTGGGGTGTGGGGACCTTGGGTTTTGCTGCATCCTCAATGCTTAAGGAGCCAGGCCACTCAACCAGCGGGGGAGGGACGAAGGGAGTGCAGACTAGGAGCTGCACTGGGCTGGCTGGGCGCCTCTGGTTTTTACTGGGGAGGTTGTTCTGTGCGGCTACAACACAAGGAATGTGAATGACAGAGGCAGAGAGGCAGATTGATGATAATAAATTAGGTGAAGGGAAGTTTGTAAACATCCTACAGGCAACAATAAAACGGAAGGGGTTAAGCAGGCAGGGCCAGGATCGGATCGGCTTTTTAGGAAAGTAATTCCCATAGAAGTACGAAAGGTGGAATAGAGTGAAAAAACCCCAGAGAGAAGGATGCTACTTCAAGTGCGCGGTTAAAGATGTGCAGGGCCTGACAGAGAGCAAGAACAGGCGTGTCGCTGCATGTCTACACTCGCACGAGGGCTCCTGTCGGACAGACGGCTGCACCTGCAGGTGCAAAGGGCCCGACGAGGCTCGGTCCTGGCAGCCCACCCGAGAAAGGGTTCGCCGGTCCCACCAGCGCCGGGCACCGGTTCCCGCTTCCCTATGTGCTTGCTCGTATGCTTCTGTCAACTTGCTGGGTAAAATTCTTGTTCACATTTACTCTCCCTCCCTGAACAGTGTGGCCAAGCATGGCTGACATGCTCACTCTGTATTTCTGCTTCTGTGAACTGCCAGTCACACACTTTGTCCATCTTCTATTAGGTTGTTCATCTTTCTCTTAATTATTGAACTCTTGATGGATTCTTCGTATGAATCCTTTGTTTTAATTTTTGTTGTTTATTATCTTTGGTACCTTCATATAGAATTTAGATTTTTTTTGGTTAATCAATATTTTTATTAGATTCTGGGTTTTGTGTTTTGATTAGAAAAACTTTTACATTCCAAGATAATATACATAGTCATTTCTTTTAATAACCTTTTTTCTTTAGCTCTGTAATCCATCTGAAATTTATTTTACATATGGGATGAGAAATATCCTAAATGCTTTAAAGCATCACCTTTTCACCACTGATCTGAAATGCTCTGTTATCATGAATGCAATGTCCAGTTTTACGCGGCCTGTTTTCTGTCCCAACAGTCTGTCCTGGGCAATGCCACTGTACAGCCTTGTCTACTTGGGTACTGGCAAGACAAATGTCATCTCATTCCCTGCCCCCCCCAAAGTTTTAAAATTTAATCTATAAAAATAACAATCTATCATTCAAGTAAGATTAGTACAGCTACATTGCAGTTATGGGTGCTATACATTAATAAGCAACTATTAACACTGTCTCCTCTTGAAAGCTCGAGATTCTCTGTATCACAGATTTCAACATAAAAGAGTAACTAAGAGGGAATAATTATAAATGAATCAATAAAATCTTACAAATTAAAGCAAACTTCAAAATGAAAGAATATATACCACAGAGGAGATCACACTTGACAAAAGCTTCTGATACTAAGAAGGAAAAATTATTTTATTTCATTAATGTGTGCTACATTTCATTATGGCTGCAGTTCCTTTTGGATTGATCTTAGGAAATCACAGGCACCTGGTAATTACATTTAACTGTCAGTTGTCAGAAGCAACAGGAGTTTCCTAAGGCAGCAGCAGAACTAGTCCAAAGAGGACTCCAGCATCCGAAGGGGCTGGGGGCTGTGCTGGTGCTCGGTTTTGTCCCTGATGTTCATTAGCCATAGTAAGTCGGTGCACACATAGATGGCAAGAACACAGTGAATGCACGAGTACTGAACTGTTAGAAGTAAAGAGGACATACTGTGAAAGGGCACATTTCAGGGGAAGCTCTGATGCCTCACCTGCGCAGTAAGGGTACGCCGGAAAGCAGGGTGCTGGGATCCAACCCGGAGCAGCTCATTTTTGGTAGCGATTAATAAACACATTTTATAGGAATGGTGGAAAGCCTAAATTGGTGGCACATACAGAAAACCCTCCTACAGAAACAGTCAAATGAGTATCTGATTTTTAAATATATTGCTCTGTAGTTTATTTTGTAATATATCATTAATAAGAGACACAGTGGATCAAAGACTTGCACCATATCACTGAATCATTCTAAAAACAAAACCAAAACAAAACCATTGCTAAGGAAAACCAATGAACCTGTTCCCAACGCTACAGAAATGCCATCTAGCAGTTAGCCTGGTGCTCTGCTGGTACTGTCCCACACTAACCACTGTTAACGCCCGATGTGGAAGCTACTGTAAATACGTCTGGGAGGGTGTCGCATTCGGAACACACTTTTCATTGGAATAAACATGAGTTTCTACTTCAGTAATTATAAATTATTGGCTATCATGTAATTCTGTATTATACTCAACAGGTGAAGTATAGAGAAAATACTTTGGCAGACACTTTTTTATTGTAGAAAGATTTTTGACTTGATTTCATACATATGCCTCAGTATTACTTACGTCTCCAAAAGAGGATGCAATTCACATGTATATAAGTCTTGCCTAAAATTTGGTGCTTTCTAGAACTAGTATATATTTTTGTACATTTAAAAATGAAATAAGCACGTAAGCTCCTCATACATGTACCTCATGCATTATATTTTGGTTTACTTAGAATACACCAATCTCTTAGCATTTATAAAGACTATTCCCTAAGCCCTTTCACTGATCTTCCTAAATATTCTACATGTCAGGCATAGAGTGAACACCTTACAAATTTCTGATCACATAAATAAACACTTGTAACAACCTACGGGGCTTACAGGTGAGTGTGAAGGGCTGGGCTGGGTGGGGTTCACAACCAGGCCTGACTCCGGAGCTGGTGCTCTCACCTGTAATATTGCA